CGGTGCCTCCCGCAGCGGGTGCCGCGCACGGGCTGGGTGCTCAGGAAGGTGGAGCGGCCCGAGAGCGTCTCCGACCACATGTACCGCATGGCCGTCATGGCGCTGGCCGCCGGCGACGCCAGCCTCGACAAGGGCAGGTGAGAGAGGCGCCTCTGTTCGTTAAGACACCTCTGGGAATTACGAGGCGTAACTTAAAACGCGGAAAAGCTCATTATTCTGCCCTGGCTTCCTGCCAGGTGTATGCGGCTGGCTCTGGTTCACGATATGGCCGAATGCATCGTTGGAGACATCGCGCCTGCAGATAATGTCCCCAAAGGGGAGAAGCACAGGAGAGAAGAGGTAGGACTGCCTGCTGACACGTCTGCAGAGCTTTTAGCATGTTTTGGATACTCCACTGGCAGGGAAGAGACCCTCAAAAGAGTGTAATTCTGTTGTCAGCGCTGTGCAAATAGACCACAAGTAACTTTTTTTTTTTTTTTTAAAAAAAGACTTTTCATGGGCAAATTGGAAGGGGTACAAGGGTTTGGAAGGAGAACAGAATTAACTCTATACCTGATATTAACTCCTGCACTGACTCAATTTGTTTGTTCTGGAGGTTACATTTGTTAGTAATATTTATCAGGTTGCATTTGTTAGTAATATTTATCAGTCTTACCAAGTGAGGAGCAGAGAGTAGGTATCCCGAGTAGACGACTGAATTTAATGTGTCATTTAGGAGGCACTTTAATGCATCAGAAACTTTATTTTATTTGCACAGGAATCCTGATGTAGATATGAATTTTGTTATTAGTCTTTGCAGTTTAGCTTGATTTACTTTGCAGCTTCCAAACTGCTGGTTTGTCAGTGCTGGATTGGTGTATTATTTGGGGGGGGAGGGTGGGAAGTTAAGCCACTTTTTCAGTAACAGCTAGAGGGCACCATCCTGCCTGTTAATTTCTTTTGCGGCCATAATTAGTTCTTCAGCTTTTCCAATGATTTTTTTCGACTTTTATACTTACCTGTTTAAGCTTGGAGGATGAGGGTTTATGAATAAATCTAGGAGTAAGCTGTTTCATAGAATCATAGAATGCTTAAGTTGGAAGGGACCTCTAGAGGTCATCTAGTCCACGCAGGGTCACCTAGAGCACGTGGCACAGGACTGCATCCAAGCGGGTTTTGAAGATCTCCAGAGAAGGAGACTCCACAACCTCTCTGGGCAGCCTGTTCCAGTGCTCTGGCACCCTCACTGTTAAGGAATTTTTCCTTAAGTTCCTGTGGAACTTTTGATGCTTCAGTTTGTGGCCATTAGCTCTAGTTCTGTCAGTGGCCACCACTGAAAAGAGGCCAGCACCATCCTCCTCACTCCCTCCCTTGAGGTACTTATAGACACTGATCAGATCCCCTCTCAGCCTTCTCTTCTCCAGGCTGAACAGGCCCAGCTCTGAGTTATTTAAGCACATCCTAGGCGACCCCAGTGCTGCAGGTCCCTCTCTAAGGATTTGAAAGGTCTTTCTATAATGGCAAACAGCTCGCACTAACTTCACGGGGATCCAGAAATGCTAATCAGCAGTTCTAGTCCGCAGCACATTTATTACACCCTGACATGCTGAAGACAGCCTGTTACAGATAGAACTGCCTAGTGAAAAATGCTGTTCCAGTGTTTTATAATAAAGTGCACCAATTAGATGCATTCATTAGGACAAACTGCTTGTCTCTTCTTATATTAGATCTTTTAAAAGGCACAGTGCATTTCATAGCTCATTCTGCTCTGTATTATTATTAATTGAACAGAGCACATTACAAAGTTTTAATCCAATAACTGTAAATACATAATGAATAATATTTCCTTGGAGGCTATCAGGTTTGCAGCAGCCTTCCTCTACAACTTTGCATGCTCAGTGTAAGATATATTGTAATAAAGTCCAGGGGTATCGGCTACTCCTCCCAGTTTGGTATCATCAGCAAACTTGCTGAGGGAGCACTCTGTGCCTTCATCCAGGTCATTGATGAATAAATTGAACAGGACTGGACCAAGGACTGACCCCTGGGGGACCCCGCTAGCTACAGGCCTCCAACTAGACTCTGCACCGCTGATCAAGCTGTTTGCTAAGAAAGTGCAACTTAAAGTTCAAAGAGCTGTTAAGAATTCTTAAAATGCTGCCTTTACTGAATGTGTCTTCAGTCTCTCTGTGTTGTTGTTTTGTTTGTTTGTTTGTTTTTGGTGTACTTGTTTAACATTCTTTCAGTAAAGCAAAAAGGTTTGCTCATCATCCCTCCAAAGGTTGTTTTGTTACCAATGGTCAAACTTCAGTTTGCCTGAAAGGAACAGCCATTTGCATTTAAGCACGTAAAGAAAAGTTTTGATGCTTAAATATGTTCACAAACCTTTCTGAAGTATTTGTAGCTTCTTCTGCTCCCATTTAACTCATTAGAACTTTGCCATTGACCTAATAAGAAGGAATATTGAGGGAGTACTGAATACTTATGCAGACCCTGAACTTTGGGGTAAAATTACCCTGAGAGTAATGGTTTCATCAGATGGCCTGGCCTGCATCATCAGTACTTTGCTGCTGACTTCTCTCTTCCCCTCTGCCCTTTGCTTATGTTGAGCTGGTTTTGAAGCTTGCTTGCTTGTTAGGTAAACTTAATGGGGTAGCCTCACTGAGGCAGCAGAAAATTAACTTGACGTTTAAAAGAAGAAATGTTTGTTTGTTTTTGCCTTGTGTCTCAAGCGGGGTGAAAAAAGTCATGGCCTAAAACCAAAGGTTTATCTGTGATGTTGATTGTTTGAGAAGCAGCACCCTGTTACTAGGAAACAGCACAGAAGTAAGCGTGATTACTGGGAAGAACATGAAGAGCTTACTTGTTGGTTACATCATTAGTTTGATAGGGCATTACACCTTGTCCCAAGATTTTTTTGTTCTTATTCTTTGAATGTACTGTATCTCAACCTGGGGGTATTGCATCTTACTGCTGCAGAGCTGGTATCTGGCAATACAAACCTGGTAACAAGCAGTTAATTTTTTAAAAGATAGTGTTAAAGATGTGCTTGCTCAAGTCATGGGTATATGCAGATTACCTGTTTTTTCCAGGCAGCTATGCAAGAGCTGACCCAGCTTCTATCAGAGGACCTAAGGAAAGAAATCTATGAACTCTGGGAAGTAAGCTTGCAATCTTTTAATCCTTTGCTAGAGTTGAGCATGCTCTGTTGTTACAGGATTCAGGTAGACTTTGTTCGGGATATAAGGATTTCATTTTTTTTAAGTGAAGAGCATGAGTGAAGATGACTTTGGGATCCCCCTTAAAAAGGAACCATAGACTGAATAACCAACTTCTGAAGCCTCTGACTTTGCAGAGTACCAGGTAAACCCTTTCGGAGCTTGGTTTGACAACTGAAGGAAGGGTTTGCTTTTGGGCTCTTACTTTTCCACTTAGAATGTATTTAAGTTCCATATATTCCATATCCATGTGTTTTGCTGCATGCAAAGGTTAAAGGGATAAATCAACATAACCAAACTTGGGAAATTTGGAGCACACGCTGGTATAATAAACACTGGTTCTGTCTTCATTTGGAAGCTTCTGTAATAGAACAATGATAGTTTATAATAGGAAAGATTTGTCTTGCAGGGTTTTTTTTTTGCATTTTGTTTCCTTTGTTTCCTTTCTTTGTTATTAGTGTAACCTGCACAGCAACAGGAGTAATCTAAAAATCTAATACTCACATGTAGCCCCTCTAGTCTTACTTTAAGTAGAGCAACTAGGCCAAAAAATAAAAAAAAATTAAAAAAAAAAAAACCTCTGATCACTTGGGTTAATATTACGCGCTCAGCTAGCCAGAGGCATTTCTGTCTGCTCTCTTTCTGTGAGTGATCAAAGTGATGGCCCTGATCTGAACAGTGTCTGGGCAAGATCTGCTGAGACTCATACCAAGTCCTTTTGCCCTGCTGTGTCCTGTTTTGCGCCACTCTGCCCTACAGCCTTGAGAAGACCCTTGTGCAGGACCCCAAGTGTGGGTGTCTGTGTTGTAGGGGAGAACGGTAGCAGAAAGGTACTACTGAGATATTCAGAGTACACTAAAAAAAGAAAAAAAGCAGCACCACTGTGCAAGAGTTATAAATGAGGATGACATTCACCATTGCCTTCACCTTGCAAGAGAGTTTATAGCTAATAGATTTATTCCTGGCTGTCGTGTTCAGCCCTCACTGGAGGTAAATGGCAGCAAAGCTGTTCAGGCTGACAAGTAACGTGAACAACTCGCAAGTAAAGATGATGAATGGAGAGAGGGAGAAGGGGGCAGAGCGATCCAAGGAGTGGGAGCGTTGTGGGGAGGAAAGCCCCGAACACCAGCGCTCCTCGTCTCCCAGGAGAGAGACGTGAGCAGCTCACATCAGACCACAGAGATTAAAGAGGAGTGACAGGAAAATTGTAAGGAACGAGTCCTTATGATAACGGCAAGTGGTGGAGAAAAATGCAAAATAGTTCCTTATAAAATGCCAAAATAGGTAAAAGCAATGCGTAGGAATATGCTGGGGTGATTCATAGTCTTGGCCAACCCTGGAAAGATCTTTATAAGTAAAACTTTATTATATGGAACCTATTGCTTAGCTTACACATTGTGCCTAGGATTGTCTCCATGTGATTCCTGATTCAGCAAAACATGTTTGAGCATGCAAAACTTAACGGGGTCCTTAAATCCTCTTATGCTCCATAGAACTTTAGCACATACTTGCTGAGCAGCGGACTTTAAAATAGAGATCGAAAGAAGTAACTCTGTCCTGAGTATTTATGGAATGGCTTTTACTGATGAAGAAAATTTGAGATATAAACAGAGCTCCCAAGACTCTTGTTTCAGAACAAAATCCCAAATTTCTTATAATTGCCTATCTGTCCAGGAATATGAAAATCAGTCTACTGCAGAAGCCAAGTTTGTAAAAGAGCTGGATCGGTGCGAGATGATACTGCAGGCATTTGAGTATGAAGAGCTGGAGAAGGCACCCGGCCGTCTACAGGATTTTTTTGATTCGACTGCTGGTATGACAGTGATTTTTTTTGTTGTTGTTGTTTTTAATGAAATCAGTGTATAAATTGCTGTGGGTGTTTTTTGTGTGAGTGTATGATAGACATTCGGAGCTGGTAAGAAACATTGTTTCACTTGTTACTGAAATACAGACTAAATAGTTTTGGTGCTGCTTATTGCAGTGTAAAAGCACCTCACATCTATCAGCACGTGTTGGTATTTGCATTGCCTGGATCGCATTTCTACCAACTTCCTTTAAGAACCACTTGGATTTAGAAAGAAACTCTGCTTAAGAGCTCTCGTGTGTGTTTTGGAATCTCTTTTTTACCACTAGAGGGGTTCAGAGGAGCCTTCCCTGATGCTTTGCCAGAAGGAAGCTGCAGTCTAAGCCGGTGCTTCACAAGGCAGTGAAGTGAGCTTGCTATCCCTGCCTTGACTGTAGTCTTGTATGACTTGCCCAAAGGATATATGGCAGCCAGCTCAGTGAAATGCTTTAAGCAGAATAAAATGTAGTGCAACTGCATCTACTGCTCCATATGCTTTCCAAAGTAAATTTTTAGCTAACACAAAAAAATAGGTAAAATACCTGTGTTTAAATTTTTAAGCAAGAGAGCTGAACACCAGGAAAGGGCTCTGCTGCCAAGTGATCCTGTCCTGTGAAAAACCTATGAAGAGGCAAGCTTAAGGAAAGGACCACTAATCTCCAGACACTGCATCTGCAAAATAATTTTATATATTTTATATAAAGCTGATCCATATCTTGGTGACTCCTCAGGGAAATATTATGTTCTCTGAAGAGAGTAGTGATTTGATTGGGGAAGAAGGAAAAAAAGTCTACATCAGAAAAGCGGACATACTTATTTTTCTAATTGACACTTTCTTGATAGAATTCAGTAAATTAAATCAAGATAGTTTTCTCAGTAGAGCATAGAGTATATACCCGAAGTGAACCTATGATCTCAAGTCTCTGAATCGGGCTCGTTTCCTGTAGCAGAACACATAGCATGGAATTACTCTGCTCAAGGCACAGCCTTCTTTTAGCTCCAAGTGTCTTAGCAGAGCAAGAAATTTGGGTGTTTGGGGGGAAAAATAGCTGTTAACTGCTCTTACAGTTGCTCCTTAGTTGGAGTAAAATAGAAATGCTCACTGTCTTAAAGTTGTTTATTCTGAGCCTCAAGCAACATCGCTGCCACCCGTGTGTGTGTGTGTGTGTATATAAAAGCATTTAAATTTTTCCTTTTGTCTTGCAGGAAAATTTGTGCACCCAGAAATTCTTCAGCTTGTGTCTGCAATTAACACAGAAAGGAATCAAAAAATAGCTGCATGTCAACCACATTCCGGAGGTGTTCCTGAGAAGCTGTAGCTCTAATAAATTTTATTTGTTTTACATTCTCTGTGGTGTTTCCCTTCCCATAGCATCACTAAGTGCCAGGGGACTTTTTTTTTCTGTGCATTAACTGCTGAGAATCCTGATACCACTTAGAGGTAGGTAGGGTAGTTGTGGAGAACAGTATGTTTCCTAGTAGGGCAAAATAGCTATAATGCTGAATGAAGTGCAACTCGCTTTGGACACACAAGGAAAAGTCTAATTACCATCTGAAAGCAGATGTTCATTAGTAGAGCATAACCCAGTAGTAATAAATTAGGAAGAAAAAAAAAGATTAGGAAGAGATGGTTCTGCAGAAATAGTTACTCTTCAATGAAAATTCTTTTTAAGCCTTAACACTTAAGTGCCTACTTAGTTTATTACCTTTGGATCATGTCTTTGGAGTAGACATTTTTGGTTTACTATCAATCAGAATGGAGTTTCAAGCAGATTGTCATGGTTCTGCAGGAAGCTGTAAAAGGCCTAACACACTCTCCACCAGGGAACTTCACTTCCCTGTATGCATCAGTGTTACCAACTTACAAGCTAGTCATCCCAGCTGCATGGGGGTAGAGTCTTATTCCTCATCTTGTAGTGAGGTCCAGTTCTGAAAGAATGAAGTTGCTCAGATTATCCCCTTGGAAACACTTTTAACGGTAGTTAAGCTTTGAAGGATACTTTTAAAAAAAAAAAAAAAGTGTATAGAAATGATGGCTGTATTGAGTTAAACAAAAAGCAGTAAGGCAGTTGAGTGCTCACTCTGGTTAGGTTTGACACTCTCTAATGTGTTTATTTTGCTAGCTCAAACCAATTTTCAAGACAGAAGCAAGGCTGGTAAGTAAATGCATTTCTCTAGAAGCTCCTGATAGAGGCAAAGTTGGAGGTGAAATATCCTCAAAAAGTGATGGTTCCATTAATTTTTCTCAGTGTATTTCTCTTCTGCGTTTCATACAATTCCCTACCCTGTGTCTGTATTATAGCAGGGGCAGGTGCTGAGGTTTAGGGAAAGCCAGTAATCCTAAATCCTTCTCACCCCACAGTGTGTGGGTGTGTGTGTGTGGGGGGGTGGGATTGTTTTGTGTGTGTTTGTTTTGTTTTGCATTAAGTATGTCCTAAAATTATTTCCTGCTACCCCTGCAGCTGTCATTGCATGTCAATTGTGGAATGCTGCATTTGAAGAGAAACGGAAAGCACTTGGAAAGACACTGCAGGTGGGTGTGCAAGCAGGACCCACGAGCCGTGAGGAGAGGTTGAAGGGAAGGTTAGCGCAGAGCCTGTGGGAGCTCACGTGCAGTGGTGACGTGCGCTGCTGCCCACGGTGTAGCTCTCGACCTGCGGGATGAAATTGCCTCGTCCTGTCTTCACCCTCCTCTGCTCGGAGCAGGGTTGTGCCTAGGCAGGGCAGTAGCCAGTTAAACACCAACAAACAGGACGAGGATTTCCCTGCAACTGAAGTGCCTCTGCTACCAGCACTATCACCACAACCTCTTCAAAAGAAAAAAAAAAAAAAAAAGCTTTTCCAGAAATATTCTTGTGTTAGTATATATACATATGTGCAAGGGTGTATGTATACTTAGACTTCACTTTTATATATGCGTCCTGACAATACATGCCCTTGCTCTTCAACCTTGTTTTGGCTGCTGGCCTGTTCAAAAAAAAAAAAAAAAAAAGGGGGCAATACCGTTAGAACTAGAAGACATTACTTCATGCCTCTGCAAAGCATTCCACTTTTAGAAACACTTCAGTGGCTTTTCTTTTTTTGAATCTCCAAGTCCTCAAAATCTGAGCCAGAGATTTCCATGGGAAACTGCAGGCCTGGAAAGGAGGAGATGCATTTTAAAAGCTGCAGGAAGGACAGATTATATTCCTACATTTTACTTTGATATTCTACTGTGATACAGCAAGGTATACAAAAGAGAAGCAGTGTTACCAGTGACTGTACACAAAAAAAAATCCACAGTGTAAAAGTTAAAGAGATAAATTTATTTTTAACAAGAATATCAATAACTTCATTTAGACAAGCTAAGTTGACCAGTAAGATTTTGTTTAAATTTGCCTATGTACTAAAAAGTGCAAACTGAGCTAGCAAACTGTCACAACCAAACTGTACTAAAATAAACCTAATTAAATGTACTTCCATGCTACAATCACACTAAAGAGGCTTTTTATGTAAATGTCCAAGCTAACATATTCAGTTGCATGTTATGAAAGAACTTCCAACTTTGTAGAAACTAAAACAAAAGCCACATAGGAAAAAAAAATCACAGCCACGTTTCCTCGCAAGATTTTAAGCACTCTATAATGTTAAACTCGCTAACATCGATTTGAAGCTCTGCCTTATGCTCAAAACAAGGATCCACTTTAAAAGTACCCAGACTGCTTCCCATTCTGCTTCTGCTCTTAGCAAAGTTGTGCTCATCTCAGTCTGGCAACCGGAGTCATACCACACGCAGACTGACATGTGCTCATTAGCAAGACACTCACAAGTGTGCTGTGCTTTTCTTTAAAAAATGTTATAAGGAGGCAAGAAAACATGCTGAGTCCGAGCTGGGAGAGCTGACTGCCTCTTGTGACTAAGTAGCTATAAAGTGGAATTATGCCCAGGAAGCAGGGCAAAAGCTGGAGCACAAAGGGGAGCAGCTGCACGTCCTGGGTATTGTAACGTAGCGAGCGCTTCTGTGGGCAGCTCTGGAGCACAGGCTGAAGGCAGCGACTCTCTAGCCTATGGCACATCTTTAATCAATCCCTGTTTAGGTAGCTTTCTTTTAAGGCTGCAATCGCAATGAGGCTTATGCTGTTCAGTTTTAAATTTACCTCCCCTTATTTTTGAGGGGAAGATACAGAGGCAAAATCATCACAGGCTTCCCCCATCCCTTCCCTTTGTAAGCAGTTTCTGCTGGTGAGTATTGCCAAGCCGCAGACAGCGAGCACCACAACATGTTTTTAAATGAAGCTTTTCCAGCTACACTGCTGAGCTTAGATCAGCACCTGGAATGAGCTTCCTATAGGAATCACTGCTGTCTCTTCCTGTTCTCCCTATTGCTGCTGCCTAATGGATAGAGGGCAATGTAAGACCATATCAGTGAAACAGGAAAAAAAAAAGAAAGGTTTCTGTTAAAAATCACTGGTTGTAACTGTGCTAGGGCAAGGGCCCGTGCAGAGGCGCTCCTGGCGCGGGGGCAGGCAGCGCGCGAGCGGCCTCCCGGCAGGAATCCTTGCGCGGCTCTGGGCCCATCTGTCTGCTGTGGCACTGGGAAGGGGGTTGCAAACCAACGGGAACAAGCAGTAAAACAAAAGCAGCAAGAAACACATCAGGAGAATTTTGGAGGCAAGTTATCTGAAAATGAAAGCTCATTTGGTCATTTAACACACTCTTAAATCCTATAATGTTAAGTCAGTTACTTCTTTGCGGTTCCTATGGCATACAAAATACTTGATGACGAAATAGCCCATCCGAAACACAGAAAGGAAGAATTTCTCCCGCACGAGGTCCATGAGGCAGTTTTCCAAAGCTGACAAAGCCTCGTTGCACAAGCTGGGCGGTGAGGGACACGGAGACGCCGCCGGCTTGCCAGGCCTCGGCGCGGCTGCCGGGCCTAGCACTGAAGCTCCTCCTCGCTCTCGGGCACGCGGGTGCCAGCCAGGGAGCTCTGGGCGCTGGCGTGGGCCGTGGAGCTGAGCACCTCCTCGAAGCTGCCCCCGCCGTGGCCCGTCCCGCCAACCCTGGTCTGAAACGAGGCAAGCAAAGAGAACGGCACGTTCGCGTCCCACCTGCACTATGCTCACGCTCAAATCTACCTGCGGAATCTGTGATAAACTCACTGGAACTGTCCCCTAGGTCCTGCGGGTGGGCTTAGTGCCAACGTTAGGAAAGTTCTTTCCACGAGTGCCTTGAATTTAGTTCTCTGTTCTGTCAGTTCCACACCGACTTGAGTAAGAGATGGGCATTAAAATGACCTGGTTTATTCTTGGTAAAGCAGTCCAACCCCAGCAGCAGTAACATAGCTACCCCCAAAAAGTATAAACCTTGCTTCTAGGGGAAAAAAAAAATCATTAATGCAATTTATGTGCTTACAGTTCATCTACTTTCAAAATGCTACAGTCTGCAGAATTTGCAAATATAAAACATAAATATAAAAGATGACTAAAACTCTGAAACAGAGTTTTCCTAACAAAGAAAACTTTTTTATTTTTTGTTGTAAAATAGCAAGACTGTAAGGGAAGAAAAGAAAGCTGGTTTGATTGGGTTGTCGTGGTAAGAGAATATGCTTTTGTTTGCCTCCTAGAAGTTGACTGCAGTCTGAAAATAGGGCAAAACTCTTCCTTCCTAAAACTGCTGCCAGACTTGCTTAAATAAAAGGTGGCATCTTTCCAGCCTGCCAGCCAACGAATGTTTAGGAGGATTATTTTAATTAAATGAACTCTGCATCCTAAGTCTCCGAAGGGTTAATCCTGTGTAATCCTTTGTTTCATCAGTTAGTACAGGAGCTTGCTTAGCTTTAAAGTTCAATAAAATAAGGAGGTAGGATGCTCGATAGTTGCTCTGGAAGATTGAGTGATAGTTACAAAAAGTTTCCATCTTGAGAAGCAAAAAGCTGCATCCATTCTAGTGAGTTGTGCTGCCTTCTCTGCAAGCAGCGAGTGTGGAGGTCATTTTCTTGCCATTCTAATGCTTTATAACTTGTCTGGTAACACCCATTGGCATTAATCCAGTATTTTCAGTTCCTCCTAAAATAATGGGTGATAATTTCAACTCTCATCAGCACTAACACTAATTGCATTTGGAATGCAGTGGAATCTTTTATAGCATTAAACTAAAATGCCATTTTATTGGCATTTTATGGGGCTTTATCAGATGGCTAAGAACCATTCAGAGAGGGACCTTTTTGTTCTCCCTTCAATGTGCTACAAATCTTAGCTCACTGCAGATCTGCCATACTCTGTCCTGCTAAATACGAGCCTTAGCAAATTCTATTAGCAGTAGCTGACTCAGGTATGTTAATCCTGAGTTGCTTTTATTGCTACCAGATCTTCCTCTCCCTAAGCACGGCCTTCAACGTGGTTTTGTAGTTCGAAAGCAGACACGGCAGTGGAAGGGACCCCTGCAGTGAGGGAAGAACGCGTCAGTGCTGAGGAGCACTGGGTGCGCGAGGCAGGCCGGGCCGCGCGAGGCAGGCCGGGGCGAAAAGGCACGGCAGGTCGCAGCACACAGCGCCTCAGACCGCGGCTGCTTCTGAGGCCTGACCACGAGCTCACAACACGGTCCTGCTTTGCGCACCAGTCAGCCCTGGTCGCGCTTTCTGAAATGCCCCTATTTTCCATTTTAGTGTGGCCACTTTTTCTGCATTTCTGAGGCCTAAGTCATGACTTGATAACTGAGAAGCAGTACTAGACCGCTTGTCTGCAAACTGCTGTCATTTTCTGTCTGGGTGCTTGCAGTTCCATGAAAACTCGTGATGGAACAGCAAATTCAAATAGTCTCCTGCACTTTAACCAGCAGAGCCATGTATTCGGCCCCTAACCTTTACCTTAAGGTTTGTGACAGTGGTCTCAACCTTCTCCTCAAACGATTTGAATGTTGGAGAATTCCTAGGAGAAAAAAACAAAACAAAACAAAGAAAGTTAAAGCGGGAAGGAGGGCAGGCACTTCTAGGCTTATCTGTGTACCACAGCTCGATCCCTTTGACCAGGCACAACGCTGGCCCAGACGGCAGGCCGGTGGCAGCACAGGGCTGTGCACTAACAGGGAGGGAGGAGTCGAGCCCAGGCACAGCGACCAGCTGAGCTCTGCTTTTGGTGCACATCCGCAGGAGCAGAACCTGCCTAGTAACTGAAGCTGAACAGTGACCTGCCCTCTGGCCCTCCGAGACGTTCACTCTGTTCCCTGGAGGACAAGCAGAAGCCCGGCCGCAGAGCTGCATTCCTGGAGTTTTATCCATCTGTGTTGTCGACAGAGTGAAATGTGAAATTCTCTCTCTCTTTTTTTTTTTTTTCATCTGGTGAGCAAAGCAATGGTCTTTATGATTAAAAGGATGTAGTTTAATCTTCAGTGTCTTAAAAGGCTGAGGCAAAGAGCTGCGGACTACAGGGGAAATGGACAGGAAAACGCCTTTGAGGAGTCCTGACCCACTCCATGATTTTGTGACATTAAAGCATCCCTTGCTGCTTCCACAGACAGACTCAGGAGAATAACATCCCAAGAGTATCTATCAGAGCCAAGCTTTGAGCTGGCTTTCACTCCTCAGGGAATGGAACACGGTATCTTTTGGTTTGGGGGAACTGTAAGTTGAGCACATCTTTTAAGAAGGGAAAAAATGAGCAAAAGGTGTGATTTTCTTCCTTAAAACAAGCCACATATTCAGCTTGCTTGCTTGCCTGACAACTATCTATTGTGATAGCTGTTTCTACAATATATTAGTGGTCTATCACTGAAAGCACGAGATACCTCCTATCAGCAGGGTCAACAGGATCAGATACTGACACCTCCTATATCCATTTGTTCCCACATGGAATACCAGGGGTCTTTAGCTGTGAGAGGTCACTCCTGAATAAGTGGGAGCCTGGGGGCAGAGGGCCTTACCCTGGCAGGTGCCCGTAATCCCTGTGCCCTCAGTGGGGAGAGGCCAGCACCAGCAGGAGATTCACTCCAAAGAACAAGGAAGCTGCTGAACTCAACAGGTGCCAGTTCATCCTCTGTGCAACTACTGGCAGCTTCCCAGGAGCATCACGACGGCCGCCGCTTCTGCAAATATGTTTGCACCATATCCCTTGTCAGATCAATTAAACTTACCCTAACATAAGGGCAAGCAGAAGCCATTTGGAAAAAATAATGCAGATTTCCTTCTGGTTTCTGTTAAATAAATGACAGACTTTTGACAGGGCCAGAAGGGGCCAAAAGGAGGGAAAACTGAGTTTGGCCCACAGTTCCTACTTGCAAACACTTTCCTTAAGCTATCCACTTGCAGAAGTTGAGTGAACTGGTCTCCATCGTTTAGCTACAGGATTTGTTTTCCCCACTGGGTGGCAGGGAGTGGGGACATTCAGGTATTTAGTGTGGGGAGGTAAAGCCAGAGCCTAATTTTACTGGAAACATTTGGAGCTTTACTTGAAAAGGCACCAATATTTAGCCACAGTCAAGGAAAGTGTGATTATAGCCATTAAAATATGAAAGCACTCAAAGAAAATCCCTGCCCAGGAGCATGATCCGAAGGCTGCTGGAGTGGAAAGTACGTGACATCAGCAGGCTTTGGATGATGCTCTAAAAGCAGCAAAACAACAAAATTTCAGATTCAGTAATAAAAATCTGTTAACATTTACCTATCCAAATACATCTCAGAATAGCTACAACTACTGAAATGCTTCCACAAGAGGTAAACAATTAATACAAATTAGAAGAAAAAAATTACAGATCACCAGTCCTGCAGCCCTTATTTACATGAATCATTTTAACTGATTCAAGTGGGACTGTTCATCTGTGTAAAAACTGAAGGAACAGATCAAGGAAGGAGAGCTGCCCCTCGCTGCACCGCTGAGCATCCACCCACACGTACAGCACGGGAAGCGCGTTACCTCATCGCAGGCATGCTTATGGAATGGCGAATGGAGTAGCTGCAGAAGAAAGCGAGAGAGAAGGGGAAAAAGCTGTAAAATCCAGTGTGCAGCATGGTTGCTACATTCCATTTTTTACTTTTAGACTTACTTAGAAAGAACAAAACCAACCCAACCCACGAGTGCTGGTGCTCTGCTCCAGACACAGAGAGCTCGTCAAACTCACCTGCAGATCCCATCTCATCCTCAGCACTGAAGTTCTTGCCACCACGTTCTCCCATCAAGGGACCTGAGTCGAGGGCTCAGTGGAGGCATGCAAGACAGTTCCTGCCAGCACCTATTTAAACCTGTTCTTGCCACCCACAGAGATTTTCTGCATGTGACAGAGGAACGGAGCATTCCAAAAGCTCTGGCCTCCGTTACGACCGCAGACCTCAGGTTTATGAAAATAAGCGGCATAGTTGGTTCAAGGTAACTAAAAGAAGTTGATCAAGAAGACAATTGTCTTTCTTTTCTTCTTTAGAAATAGGACCCCCCTCACCCCATCCAGAAAAAGAGCCATCTGTCAAAAAGATGGGTCAGACTGGCCTTAGATGCTGTGTGTGCACCTCTGTGTGTGGAGATGCTTCAAGGCTTCTGCTAAGCTAAGACAGACAAGAAGTGACACCAAACACAATTCAAGCTTTTCATGTTCAATTGAACATACTGTTTTAAGATTTAGTAAAGACAAGTCCGAACATGCACAAGTTCAGATATTCAGCAATCCTAGTTAAATGAAACAAGCATGCTTGCCATGCTGGTCTTTTAACACATGACAAATAGGCAAGAAACAAAGCATTTTAGAGTATTTCAGCATAGGCTGCTCCTCTTCTAGTAGCAAAACATTCCAAATATGAAGCTCTAAATAAGAGGATTACATTGCACCAAATTAAATTCACATGGCTGAGAGATGATGTGTGACAGACAATCTGACTCAATAGTCAGATTTTACTGAGCTCATGTTTTTATTTTATTTAAAGGGGAGAAGATAAAAGCTACAGAAACAATAACAACAGCTTCCAATATTGTTCTATTAGGAAAAAAAAAAAAGCTTATTTAATGTTTCAGGTTTCAGGACACTTGTGTGTGCAATGGCGAGAGACCTCAGAGGTTCAGCGCAGAGGTAGAGAACAGAGATCCTCCATGCCAAAGGGCTGCTGCGTTTTACAGTTCTGCTTGATGACAGTGTGACGGACAGTCAGCTTAGGCCACGTTTTGAGGGTTTTCTTTCAGGGAACTACGTGTTAGGGCAACACTCACTGAGCAGAACAACCTTCTGAGGCGCCAGAGGATGCTGCAGGGCCAGGCTGAGCACCCAGCCCCTTTGCCAGGGGAACTGGCTCCGGTCACACAGAGCGCGCACAGTGTCTGTCAGTACGTGTAAGATCACTTCTAACATTTTAGCATTGCTTTTAACATAAGCAATCTTTTAACGTGTAAGGTTGTTTTTAGCATATACTGAAATGTTCTACAGTGTCAGTAAGCTCAAGCTCTGAAAGGCTAAAGAATCTCTTTTTAATCATCATAAGAACTTGTTCTACCTTCAAAGATCTCTGTAAACTCAGGGCTTCTACAGAGTCACTCTGTGTGCTTCATGACTGCTGCACCTCTGCTTCACTGAGGAGGCAGGAATTTAATTCTTTATGTGACCTTAATAAAACTTTGCTCATCAAACAGAATTTTTACTAAATCCTGTTTATGTTCCAACCTCTAGATAGAAAGAGATGGCTGAGAGAACAGATAACATAAATAGGTTTTCCCTAGAGAAACTTCTTTTGAAAGCATTCATTATTTGAATTTGAGACTAATCTACTCAAGAGCAAGGCAACATTCTAGCCACATACTCCAGTCCTTTCCTCATTAGAATCACCATGCAGTAGAAATGAGACCCTACAATTTAAGCCGAATATGTTTTTCTCTTGCATGCAGCACTGAAAGGCAAGAAGTTACTCTGTTACATTCTGTAAAACAAACCCTGTCAAAGATAGGGGCAGTATTAAGAGCACTCTTTCAGAAAAGCAATGTGTCTTACCCAATCGAATGCGATCTATGGAAGCCATAAAAGGAAAGAAAAATAGGAGTTGAGAGCATTAAGGAAACATCATAAAAAATATACATACATATCTAAAACATGCCAAAGGAGAAAAAGAAAACCATTCACATTCAAATTTTGACACTGGATGTCACACTAAAATATGAATCAGTTGAGATTCCTTCAAGGCAAAAAATAGAGCTTTTAGTAATTTTTACACTCCTCCTTACACACTACTTGCATACTCTACTATTTTTTTTACACACACCAGACAGAGTTAATCTCATCTCAGAGGTAATCTCTACAACAAAGAACAGAATTTTTGTCTGACAAACTTTGTGTCTTCATTAGACCACGTCTGATCAATGCTGACTGATTTCTCTTCACCTTAACCTCATTCAAGAGGAAGTATCAGCCAACTGGAAACTCACTTCAGCAGCGTCTTTTCCCCTCTCTGGATTTTTATCATCTCTCAGTTCAGGAGAAGATGAATAAAAAAGAGCCTTTAATTTCTAAAAAGACATTTTTAAAAGACTCATTTCTGTTGAAAATATTATTTTTAGCAGTTTGACACTGGTTTTCAGTTCCCACAAAGGCAACAGCATTGAGAAGTGATCTGCTATACTCCAAGGGTGTCATCAAGTCAGGATAAAAAAGAGCCTTTAATTTCTAAAATGACGTTTTCTGAAAAACTCATTTCTATTGAAAATATTATTTTCAGCAGTTTGACACTGGTTTTCAGTTCACACAAAGGCAACAGCATTGAGAAGTGATCTGCAATACTCCAAGGGTGTCATCAAGTCAGGAAAGGCTGCTGAAGACAACCTCCCCTCCACCCGGGTACCACTGATGGAGCCTTTAATTACAGATTTCTTCTTCAGGGGAACACCTGCCTAATGCAGGGAAGCAGATAGATAGTGTGCACTGAATGAACAGCTCTTCAATTTTTCACATTTTTTTGATGTGTGCTGTGATGCGTTATTTACTGTACAAGATTTATATCCTACTCTGAAAAAAATACTAATTTTTTCAGGGGCTTATCATTACATATATAGGTACTTTGCAAACAGGGATTATCTTCACAACGTATTTCTGTTTAGACCAGGTTATAGAAATGCTGGTGCCAGTTTTAGCTTCCTTTTACTACCATCTGACTGCTAGTACCAGCCATTCCTTACTCCATGCTAGCACCAATATCCACAGATCCGTATAGCAAGCAAGACCGGGAATCTGTGTTATTGTAGAGCTCTACCAGCCAGCACAACTGAAGGTGCAAGTGCCAGCAGAAATGAGAAAAAGCAACTAGCTCACCTGTCATGAGAAGGAATGCTTATGCAATTCAGTTCTGAAGCAAGACAGCATCATTATTTCCCTCATAGTGCATATCTGACAGCTATGATTTTTCAAGCAGTTCATCTCCCAATGACTTCAGCCAACATCTATGAGTGCTCAGAACATCCTCAGATTGTGGAAAGCGCGGAAATGCAGGAGTGGAAGGAAGGCACATCAAAAATACACTCCCACAGCACTAGTACAGATTAATTATACCTGAGCCATCTCCAACAGACATCTGCCCAACCTGCTTTTAAAAAATTCCAACAAGCTGCTTACATTTAAATGAGTGAAATCTTTAGCTTGGTGACCTTTAAAGCTTTTTTATTTTCCCCTTGTGCAGCAGTAGAAGGGCATGTGGCAGCAGGTATACAGTAGTGTGATGCAAGTAGTTTCATTGATTTAAAAAACAATTTTTAAAACTGAAATATCAGAAATCCTCCGCATGGTATCACAACCTTTCCGGAGGAGCCATCAGCCTGGCTGAAGCTCTAAGATTCCAGATCGCTTCGGAATAACGCAGTAGTGCCCCATAAAAAGATCCACACTTTGCCATATGCAAAAGAGCAAGGGGCAAAGGCCCCCAACCTCAGGCCAGCTCCTGCTCTGCGTGACAGCAGACACGTTGCCACCACTGCATATGGCCACCAGGGAAGTGGCAGGACTCAGGAATACTGGATTCAGCTTGGCTGCAGGGATGAACATGTCCAAAGGGGCTTTTAACTCCATCTCACCCATCCCAACCCTCTAAAACTGGCCCAGTCCTTCCTCCTCTTTCTCCATGGCTGCCTCCTGATGCTCCTGCTGCTCTGAACTGCCCTGGTCCCAAAACCCAACCCCTTCCATCTGGCTCTGTTCCATCCGCTCATTATCACTGTTACCCTTAAATCACACAGCAGTGCTTTGAAGGGGGAAAGGAAAGAGAATCACGCTTGGATTTCTTATAGAAATCTCAGGTGTCGTCCTCCACATCTGGGTGACCAGGGCACGTCAGAACGCGTTGACAGAGAATATACATGCACACAAATAAAAACTAAAATACCTAACTGATTTCATGCTACTAATCACAAGAGCTATTCATGAGGAAGCTATTGTCTTAAGTGCATTATTAGTGCTTGGCTTATATCTCAAAGCAAAAGTATGTGTTTACTGGTTTTATCTGCATTTCTCATATTTCTAGATGTACTTCTCATATTAAATAAAATGCACCATAATCCCAGAATCACAGAATGCTTAAGGTTGGAAGGGACCTCTAGAGGTCATCTAGTCCAACCCCCCTGCACACACAGGGTCACCTACAGCACGTGGCACAGGGTGGCATCCAGGCGGGTTTGGAAGATCTCCAGAGAAAGAGACTCCACAACCTCTCTGGGCAGCCTGTGCCAGGGATCTGTCACCCTCACAGGAAAGAAGTGACTGTAAATGTAAGGAGGGGACTCTAAATAACTCTAAAGAGATGCCGTGAGCACTAACCAATAACAGCACAATTAATAACAGCACAAAATTCCAAAGATGCAAAATGTTAAAGATTATTCAGCTATAAAATGAGTTAGAGGGCTGCAACACTGGGTAGCTAAGGGTGGGGAGGAAAGGGGAGCAGGGCAGCAGCACAAAAGGGATTTTGCCTCCCAAAGTGGGGGGCACATCTGTTCATGGAGACACAAGGAAGTGAGGATTTTGACACCTCTCCTTCCTTTAGGTAGACTTCATCTTCTTCAAATGTCAACACAGCAGAATAGAGCATTTGGGGCAAGTCCATCTGGCCTGCTGTTGATGTTATATTTTAGTAAATATTTCCAGAGATAACTCACTGTTAAATCTCTCTCAGATCATCAGCTAAGATCTTGCTCCTTCAGAACAAAATAACGTGTTTCAGGTGATGCTCTACCATGCAGTTGGCATAGGAGGCAGCCTGGAGAACAGAATGTTTTTTTCACAGCAAAGGTGGATTTCACTGTTCAAACCCAGGCTGACTGCAAACCCTTTCAAAATCCTCACTGACACAGGGTTAAAGGCCAAACACACCAGACTGCTGAACATACCGGGAATTATGATGATCATCCGGATTACAGAAACCAGTTGCAAGTGTCTGCTCTGAATGAAAGCAGAGGAGGGATTTGCATCTGGATGTCATTGGTGACTATTGATCTTAATGCCTAAACAACAGAATCGAGCCAGGGTCTAATGTGTGCTCCAAACAGTATTATGGGAGGGGGCAGAGATAATCCCCATGCTAGACCACCAAAATGAAATGAAATTACTTGCATTAGGAAAAAGCAAGCAAGCAATAAAACAAAGCACACTTCCCTAACACGCTCACTCCCCCAAACACAGCCAGTATCAGAGTGGGAGTGCGGCAGATTTTTAACCTAGGGCATTTAAGTGACAAGGTTTACACTTAAGGTCTACCCAACATAGAGCTGCACTTGCCCAAACCGAGTAAAGATCTTGCTTTCAATAAGTGTACTCACTATTATGATCTGGGATGTTTTGCAGATATAGAGGACACGATTTGTACCATGCTTTGTTTAACTATATAGGCTGCTGGGATGCTGCTTCCTGCTTGTCAAAAAAACCCTCCCTACTGAACACTTAAATAAAACTAGTATGTTTCTGGGAGAAAAAAAAAAAAAAAAAGGTAAGGCTGTTAAATTTGTATTTTTTTTTGTATTTTCTGGAAAAATTTCCAGCCAGTTACAAGGTAATCAAATTGGAGGGGGAAAAAAAAAAAAAAAAAAAAAGAGAGAAACGCTACTAGAATCAAGTTTCCTGACTACTCAAAATGGTTATGGATTTAGCCTCTGCTTTCAGCCCTTGGCTAAGGGACTAATGGGATAAGCACTGCCCAGCTGCTTTCCAAATGCTGGCCAGAAGCATGAAGATCACATCGGGGAGGGGACTGATCGGTAGGACGAAGGAAGTGGTTAGCAGCCACGCTACGTACTGAAAGACGCACAATATTACGGCAAAGACACTTCTTCCTTCGCAGTTAATCTCACACCCTGTGCAAAGCTCACGTAACAGGGCCTGGGAAGCACCGAGTGGTCACAGTCCTCCTGCTGTGACTGAGGACGAGTGCCCACGGTATTTGCACAACAGTTCTGTGACCAGAGCTCTGGGATCCAGCAAGGAGAAGCAGCAACGGGTCCTGTCCCCTAAGCAATGGCTTTGCTTGGGTTACGTGAGCAGGTGCTGTACACAGGTGATGGGAAACAGATCGAGGAGGAGGAGAAAACGCAGCAACAGCTTTCTCAGTAATAAAACCTGGCTTCAGGGTGTGGTACGAATTTTATTTTATCCTTTGTACAACTCGAAAACAGTGTTAAAAATAGCCTCAAGTGTTTGTCTCCAAAACTCATCTATGAATAAAATTAGGTTAATGAAAATTTAACTGTTTTTTTTTTTTCCTTTCATTTTGTTTGTTTGCTCTTCTTGGCTTGCTAAGTTATTCCAAATGGGATCAGGCTTTTTTTTTTTTTTTTTTTTAATCCGGGAATGTAGTAAGAATTATGTCTTTATTCACACTTGCCTTTTCCTCTTAGCAGGCACCCTGAATAAAATGCTACAATTATAAGCACTAGCTGGAATTTTGAACACTAGAGTGGTAGGAAAAGCAATAGACTTGTTATGTTTTTTCTCCTCAAAATAAGACCAAAGAAGCAGCAAACCCCTTTACCTCATATCTCCAAACTTCTTGCTGATAGCAGTTCCTACGTTGCTGATAGCTGCTGTGGCCTTCTGTCCTGCATGGCTCAGGGTTTCATGTGTTTTCTTGTAACTGGGAAAAACAAAACAAAACCAGAAATAGTGCCAAGTATTGAGAAACAGGGGCTAGAATCCCTGCAATCCCCCTTTTTCCAGAAAGTTTTTCCCCCCCTGATTTCCAGAAAGTTCTTAAAGTTCCATTCACTAACGGGTTAATGAATTACAAGGATGCCCACTCCTACACAGCGTCCTAAGAGCAGCTTAATCCCGAGGGGAGCAAACCGCCCTCCAGAGCAATTCCCGCTTCTCCCTCCTGGCAGGCAGCCCCCTCTGCTCAGCGCAAACTGTTCACATGTAGAAGGCAGCGATCTGCCAAAGCTTGCTGGGTTTGACACAACTCCACCAAACTTGCACCAGCCAAGCAGCACAGCACACACATGTATGTGGGTAGAGCGCACGCATTCACCTGCAGAATGATCCTAATGTCCTGACCTGGGACACAGGCTTTAACCCACCATTCAGCACGGTTAAATTACATTCTCAGAGTAATGAATAAGCTCTGCTGTACAGATGCTCTCTTTGCAGAGGAAACTACTTCTGAGCAGGTCCTAGGACATTAACTGAGGCTCCCAGGGATGCCAGCAAGTTCAGAATTATAATACCGACCTAATAACAAACGTATAGCAGGTTAAAATCAATCTTGCATCCTGTGGCATGTCTTGGCAGACAAGAATTGAAAAAGTGATCATGAAAAACTATAATTTAATTGGTCCTACTTCTCTTTTGAACATATTCTTTAAGGTTATAGAGACTGCAAGAGATTGCAAATTTTTAAGATTCCAAAATACACGTGAGGTTAATGAAAAATCGCACCGCCTCATTCAGACTATTTTATTCATCATTTTAGGTATATGAGAACATTATAAGTTCGTGGAGAAAGGAGGGGAACTAAAACCTGTATGTATATATGCATGTGTGTGTGTATATTTTTCAAACATGCCCACATTGCTGCACGTGCATCTTTAAACATTCTCCTAACAGAGAAGATGACAAAACCGTTCAACGCAAGCGGAATTTTGCCGGTGACAAAAGCGAGTGCCAAGACTTGACCTCCAGGTGGAAAAGACTCTTTGCAGCGTAGCTGCTCTCGCTTTCCCTCTGCCCCAGCCTGTGTGGACACAAACCCCCTCCACGCAGACACGGCAGCCGCACGCTCTGCTCCGCGGGGACGCAGGCGAGAGGCAGCTCGCCTCTTCCTGCAAGCTGCTGTGCTCACCCCCAAGGCTGCTTTTAAGCATCAGAGAGCCTCCTGTTAAGCAGAACCCTTATCCTGGCTTGCGTTTGCACATGCTGAGCTATCTCCAACGCTTCCCCTCTCCCCTGCTCTCTGCCGGGTTCTGGGTCAAAAATCAGACAACCAGCACACTTCCAAGCAGAAATGCTCCAGGGGTCAGCACTGTCACAAAGAATAGCCCTTCCCACCAGTCATTAAAAAAAAGGTATATTTAAATTATGCATATGTTCAATGAAAGTGATAACCGGGGTTAAAATATCTTTAGAAACAAACACTATTTAAGTTGATGTTGATTATAAATAGTAAAATACTTTGCAGATATCACTGAGGTAATTTTTGGAACAAGACACCTTTGAGTTAATTTTGCCTGTGGTCATGTTCAGCTTCAGATTAAAAAAAAAAAAAAAGGCATTCCACTCATTACTGCATATAGAGAGAGTAGATCCCATAAATACAATGTCCTCCCCAGTATTGCTACCAGGAAGAAAGAAATGGAAACAGCATTTATGTTCCTAATACTGGTGATGTTGTATAACAGTGCAAATCCAGCTAAGACTGTTACACAATTGGTCTTTTTTTGAGTGTCAGCTCCAGAAAAACCACCTCTGACCTGGCAACACCTGCTCCCTTCTGCAATGCTCAAGAGCTTTGAGGAACAGAAAAATAACAAGAGTAAAAATGCAAAGTGCAATAAGCAATACCTGCCAGCAGACACAACAGCAGCAATTTCACCTCAGAAAAACCTCACTGATGCTTAGCTTAAAAATCACCCTGTGGTATTTGCCTGTCTACCATTACCCGCATTACTGTGCCTCCTTCATAAATAAATGTTGTCTCCATGCAGCACATAGCCCCTCTGTAGTCAGTTATGATCTGCACTGGTATGCAGCACAGTATTTTGGTTATATATTTTTGTTACCATAGTTATATTTACAACATTAACTGAACACACACAGGAAATTCAGTCTGAACATAAAAAATAAAATAACTTATTTACTGTGAGGGTGCCTGAGCACTGGGGAAAGGATTGTCCATACAGGTTGTGGAGTCTCCAGCCTTGGAGGTACTCAAAGGACAAACTGTGTCCAGATGGCTCTCTGGACACAGCTCTCCCTTGAGCAAGGCAGGTGGGCTGATGTCCAGAGGTCCCTTCCAACCTCGACCATTCTGTTCTGAAAATTCTCTAATTTTCAATATTAACATTTTCAGATCTCGACAACCTAAGCCTTTTGTCCATCAACTTCTGATCACAGTTTAGTTTTTAAAATGGAATTTCTTTAAATTAACAATAAGAAATAACACTGATCTTATCAGAAGCCAGGTTAAAATATGGTGATATCAGACAACTATATTTTGGTAAAATTCCCTTCCCAGCATATTTAATGGAAGCTTTTAAGGAGACTTATATTTCCAGGAATGTAGCATACTCCTTAGACAAAACTGATTTGCAGTATAACTTGAGTGCATTTCAACCTTTTTTTTTTCATTGCATTTAGGTTGCACTGTCTTATGACAAGGTCTCACTACATTAATTTATAGACAATTAAAAAAAATACAAAACACAATGAGAAGAAAGCAGGTCATTCTTCACACAAAATACAGGCAAACTGCAGATGTACAAAGAGGTCAGAGAAGTAGATGTTTAAACGAGCAGCGTCTGCAGGATAAGAGGGGATAATCATCACTCCGGGGCCATTTGAACTCCCATCGGCTCTGTAAGGAGTTGCCCTTCACGTGGTAGGGTTAAGACTAACCCTCTTTCACAGGCACAAGCATGTGCCATGGGCAGAAATAGCTACAATATAATATTCACATTTTGCGTGGTAAGCTGCACGTTTGACCTGCTCCAGTACTTATAAAGATTTTAGTACTAATTTCTGTAAAATATGACAACACATACTGGTAATTAGTACATTTTGCTGAGTGTTGTCTTCGCTATCAATGATTACTGGCAAAATTAATCCATTTGAGAAGCCCTCCTCTGTGATAAAGCTTACAGAAGATGGAGCAAAATGCAAACAATTAACAACGCAACCATATTGTAGAGCAGAGCCTGGTGGCACAAGCCATGTCCTATGGAGCTTGTTGCCTTTTTTTTTTTTGGGCTCAAGCCTTTAGTCAGCCTAAGAATGAGATTTTCTGGAATGAATGTAAAGCATCTGGGTCTCTGGGAGATTCTGAACTATAAAACCATCTTGCTATTGATTTTCTGTGAGGAAAAAAAAAAAGGAGGGTTTAGTATCAATAAAGTAATGCTACCACTCAAATGAAATTAATATACATGTGAACAACAGACAACACGTACTTAGAACACATGCTCTAAAAACATGCATATTGCCAGACTGCCTACAAATAAATAAAAGGTTTGGGTTTTGGGGGGGGGTTCTTTCTGTTTGTTTGTTTGAACACTTAACTGAAATTCACTCCAACTTCAAAAAGCAGTGGTATGATGTATTTTTAGCCGTTCAGCCTTTCATCAAACGCGTTCAGAACTAACTGGAATCGTGCTGGCACCCGATACGCGTGCACAGGCCTAACCCGGCCAAAGGAGCCGTGCCCCAGGCGGCTCCTCTCCCCTGGCGACAGGAAGGGCAGAGCTCAGGGAACAGAAACGCGGAGGTCGCAGGGGATCTGCCCAAAGCCAGGAATCCGCAGGGAGCGTTTGGCGGGACGCGGCTCGGGAGGGCCACGGGCCAGGAAGGGGGCCAGGCAACGCTGCCAAATACTCTGCGCAGTCCTGTGCTACAGCCTGCAAAACTGCACAAAAAGTACGGGGTACGATTGCATGGAAGGCCCTATCTGCGCAGGAGGAAGAGCAAACAGTTGTGCTCATGGCCAGGTATAAGAGCTCCCTGGCTTGAGGCACTGCAGGCCCATGCTGCAAAGTTCATCGTGTTTTTAACTACGACAGCAATGAAATGATGCAAACTAAAATTTGCAAGCCTTCTTTCTCTTTTCCTTTCCTTCCCCTTCCTTTTCTTTCCCACCTTTTCTTTGCCTTCCATTCCTTTCTCTGCTTTCCTACCTTTATCTTGCCTTGTCTTCCTTTCCCTTTCTTTTGCCTTCCATCCCTTCCTTCCCCATAGTTTTAGGATTTCAGTTTAAACTTAACTGCCTTTTCCCCTCCTTGTAGTTCTATACACATATGTATATAACACATACATGTATAGTTTCTGTTTCAAAGTCATCATGACAGCAGATTGTTCCTACGAAACTAATACAATATTTAGAGATCTGGAAAGTATCACCCGAAGTTCTGGAATTTCCAATAGCCAAATTTTCTGGTGCAAATGGACATACATCTCTTAGGAATGGAACAGTGGGAATGGATTAGGTGACTTTCCAAAGTTCCTTTTGCAGACCTGTTTTCCATGACCCCATACATATCATTCATCCTTCCATGTTCAAGGACAGAGCTGCATGTGAAGAAGTAGCAAAAAATGACTTAGAGGGAGGCATGAACTTCAGCTGGTCTGGCCCAAAGGACACAGAGGGTCAGTGGAACGGGGTCCCTTACTTGCCTACATGCTCGCAGCAGGCACCGCGCTTGCTTTACTTGCACAACTGCTACACTTACTTGCAGATTTTAAAGAAGAAAATATCACAGGGCAATTACTCATTTCAATGAACAGAAGCACTCCCATTTCTTTTACTACCACTCATTACAAGTGTGTGTGGGAACACAGTATGCTGAGTTCCTAAATGTCACAGCAGGACTTTGGTTGCCCATAAATTATGGCTGCCTTCCTGAAAAAAATCCAGTCCTCTAGAACACACTA